ACAAAAACAAATTTGCTCCACTTTTGCTTGTCGCCAACCTTACAATGTTTCTAAAAGACAAGCTTGATATATAATGTACGTGAAACAACTCGTGTGTCCATAACGTGGACATGAATGAATTATTCAATGTTGACGAAATTCTAATTTTTTCCCTCTCTACTTATATTCTTGTTATTTCTATATTACAATAAAAATCTCATTTGATGACTATTGTTAGAAACAACATATTCGATGTATTGTTTTTCATTCGAACGAGCAGTTAAATATGTACACCTTTATACAAACAATTCAGTTCCAACTCATACGAACTCAGCAGGTAAACAACTCCAGTTTAAATGAAACGAGCTGGTCGACAATTCCAGTTCAAATGAAATTAACTGGTGAACAACTCCGGTTCAATTGAAAGGAACTGGTCGACACTTCCAGCTCAAATGAAACGAACTGGTGAACAACTCCAGCTCAGATGAAAGGAACTGGTCAACAGTTCCAGTTCAAATGAAATGAACTGGTGAACAACTCCAGTTCAAATGAAATGAACTGATCAACAGCTCAAGTTCAAATGAATGAGAACTGTTCAAACAGTTCCAGTTCATCGAGCGGAGATGGAGTTGTCACATGCCTAGTTATGCCTAAACATGTGTCTGGATAGTATAGTCGTGAACTCCCTTACTCAATGTGTTGTATATCTAGTTGCTCGAATAAATCAGTCGAATTGATTAGTGAAGTTGATAGTGAATTTTCAGAGTTTGCTGCCGGTCACAGTGTTTTCAGTTATTCGACATGACTTGCAAGAGACCTCCGGACAACAAACTATGTTTTTACATGCTTTTGAGTATGATCTATCAAGCTGAAATAATAAATCCTCTAACCGAGGACCACAGAGCTACACCCTGCAAGGTGGTGCGCTAGGCGTTCATGTCGATAAATTCATATTACATGCACACGTTGATCTTGTCTAACGTTTATAATCTTCTACAGCAAAGCAAACTGATAATTCTTGGTTAGCTTCTAAGCTGAGTATCCTACCAAAAACTCATCGATGTTGACCGCATTAAGATGCTTTCGTGGTCTATAAGCAAATAGCTTTTCGTACTCAATGAGCACATTCCTGAGATAACAAAGAATAGCCTGCTCATTGAGATATTTTTGTACTAAATTTTTGCCATTTATTCCAATGAACTTTGCTTTCTGAGGATCATGCATTAAATTTCGCGTTAAATTATGGAATGACTCTCCATTGTCTCTGTCTCTCCAAATTAGAGCATTGTAGTCATGTTTCAATAAATGATACCAATATTCTTCCCAGCCACGAAAGTTTGCAAAAATCACGGGTGATCCACAAAGAAGTAAATACTTCAATCTGTTGGAGTAAGACCAACCCTCTTGATGGAGTAGATATTGATACTGGCAAAACTGCTGTATATTTTTAAAATTCTCAGAATAATGGGCACTAAGAGTGCTTGGTTTCCAATCAATGAACTCTATGTCCAACGCTGGGTCGTCTTTTCTCTGGCCAATGTCGGTCAACCATTGGCGGCCTCCATTTCGCGCTCCTCGCCACATTAGTTTGTGGACTCGATTCTCCCATTTGATTTTTTCGGCTACTTTGGGTAAATTTTCTAGAACAGAACGCCATCTACCAATCTTAGGTGCCGTAAACACCCATAGTGTAAAGCATGGAATAAGCACGATACCATCAGGATGTAAGCCCCATATAGGTCCTTTACGTGTTTTGGTAAAGCCAAAAACCGGCACCTTGTGCCTCTTTTTATTGAGATTTGTGGAATTCAGCATCACAGCATCCTCTAAGGAAAATATTTACTTACTTTTTATAAAGTAATCGGAAAACAGCTTAAGACAAGTTGAAAGCAGGGCATTACTTTTATTTGCGATATATTCACTCGACTTGTAGGCGTTTCAAGTGAATTTACTTTTGGCCTTGCAGAAATGGGTCGAGCGATTGGTTTAAATACCTCTGACTTAGTATGTTGTATATTGTATGCTTACAGATGAGTTAATGAGGAATTTTATTTTGCGGCAAATTCAAATCATTGTCAATATTCCAATTGGAAAGCCACAAGAATTGTATTTCTCGATCAATACAAACTCAATCAAACGCTGCCAAATATGTAGATTATATTACTCAAAGCAATATCAATAATACAACAAATTGCAATTACCATATTCGATTAGTAGTATCGATCCTCCCTCTATGTGTATCTTGGTGGAATACAGGTGTCAGCGGTATAAGCGGTGTAATGAGGGCGTGGGGAATAACTGAATGGTTGATTAACTGATTTCAACTTTCGAGCTTGACACTAGTGGTACCGCCAACACTACTATCCTGAGATATGCGTATATCGCTAAACTGCTATGCTGTTTGATTTCTTATGCTTTATTTAGTCAGCATAAGATATGTCTTCTGATTTTGCTGAAAGTGAGTTTTCTGGAATCTATTTTGCTGCATAGTACTATTTATTAGCTTCTGTTAGACATGCATCAATCCATATTCAAACCAGTTCTATTCATATTCTAGAATCGAAGTTGAATGCAATTATTTATGATTTGCACTGGAATTGATCTGAGACAAACTGAAAAATATTATTATTCGCTACTGAATCAACACTAGTTTTGGAAAGTTCTCGTTAACATCAGACGACTTCTCAATAAAAACAAGCGCTTGGAACTAGTTTTCCATCGGATCTGGCGAAGTCTGCCAAAGTTGTTATCTACACCACGTCGGCTCTAAATTAGTTTTAGAAAATCTCAGCCGTTTCCGATCGATTTTAGAATGAGAACGGTTGCGCCCCTATACGTGATTTTTTGGTGCACTCTTCGTAGGAGCG